GAGGGTTAAATCAATATGGAAAAAAGATTTTTTTTTTTTTGATGTGTAATGCACAGAATGAGGGGCACAAGCAGACATGGAGGCAGAACAGCTACAGGAACAAAATAGATAAATGACTGCACTTGAGGATCATAGATGCAAGCTGCAGAAAACAAGACAGAAGTGAATATGTGTTGGAAGCAGCGTATGGAGAGACATGTACAGAAACATGCAGAACTGAAGCTATCGGGGGTAGGAGAGTAAAGAAGGAGGGAAGGGTGATGTATCTCAGTTGTTTCTCAATAGTAGAACTGTTGTAGACCTTGGGCTTCAAGGTTTGTGGTTTATGCAGTAAAGGTAATCTGTTCTGATTTTAATTGACCGTATCAGCTTGCGAGAGCTTTCCAGTTTCTGAATACTGGCTTTGATAGAAATAAAAGCAATAAATGTTTAGGTTGCATTTAACCAGCTACAAAAATGCTAGTGAAATCCATAAGAGTTTAATGACTTTGTGGTATTGTACTTGGCCTCCCGGTTTATCTTAGCTATTCCCTTTTTGATGTGTTTTAATGCCTCTTCAGTTGCAGTGAAAACAATCTTTTTCAGGCAGTCTTACATCCCATAAATTTGTGTAACCCCTTTCTAAAACCCATTCATGTTTCTGGTTCTAATGGTAATGACTTTCAAAATCCAGCCTCCTTATGTTAAGCTTTATATAGGTGATGCTTTACAGTCAAGGCAACTGGAACTTGGAAGAACCATCTCCTCTGATTAAACTTCTTTTCTTGTCCTTTCCCATTTTGTCAACAGATTTATTTACTTGGTTACATTGCTATAAACCTGCAGCATACTTTTTCTAAAAGCCTATGTTGCTATAAAACTTTCCTGGTATTTGTAGGACTACTTCACTTCCTCATTTAGTTATAGGGTGTTGACCTTAACAGCGATTAGGATTTACTGACTCCTTAGCATTGGTTGTTTTATAACATCATAATTGAAGAGTAATACAATGGATGGCTGTTAATTAGCACTATATATATGTGAACAATTTTTGGTTTTGGTTTTTTGCAGATAACAGTACAGACTTCTGGGCAACTGATGTGAAATGGTTTTCATTACTGGAGAGCACAAACTGGCTAGAGATAATCAGGTTTGCTATATCTGTAACTTTCTGGGTTTAAAATTGTTAAATGCATTTGTAGTAGGTTTTCTAGCTAGTTTCTTGAAATATGACCTCCAGTAGGAAAGAAAATTAAGACAGACTTATGGTCCCATTTATATATCTTATTTCTAAAACTTGAGACAGTATTTTTACAGTGCAGGCTTGTGTTAAGCCTCCCACATTAAAGGATGTGAGAAGCAGCACATCATTCCAATTACACTCTTCCAGCAAACCTATTAAAACTATAGATCCAGTAATTTCCCTCTTGCACTTAGTCACCTTCTTTCCAAATTGAAGAATCCTATTTGTTTCTTGCATGAAACTATTCCATGTCTTTGACCAGCCTTGCCGTTCTTCTTTGTACTCTCTACTTCTATAATATCCTTTAGGACGGGATGAACTGCAATATTCAAGATGTTAGCCCACCAAAGATTTATAAAATGAGTTGTTCTCAGTTTTGTCCCCTTCCTCTCCTGATTGTTCCTCAAGTTCTTTTTTCTTCTCTCACAGTGAGTAAGCGTTGGAATGGTGTTGGCTAACTTAAGGCTTGTTATAGTGGAGTGTTGAGGGGTTTTATTTGTTTTCAGTGTTACTTTGTGCTAGCTCTATTGCCTGCCAGTTTGTCCTGTGATCAGCTTGTTACCATGAAGTGCTTCTGCAGTCTTCTACAGTCAGCTTCAGTTCTTTCTAGTCCTAATAACAATCAATAAGTATTGATAGTTATTCATTCCTTAATCCAGAATTTAAAGGTATGTTGAATGAGAGGTTCTAGTGATGATCATGTATTCAGAAATGTATTGACATAACCAAGATTACAAGTAGTTTAAAGTAAATGCTAGCCCAAGTTCTTATCCTTAAGTTGTTTTGAGACTGGTCATTTCCATACTTGGATCCAGTTGCTTCCTGGATCAGCCTGTTCTTGGCTCTTGCAGTTAGTAGAAATGCCTTCTCAGCTATTCTAGATGTTAGAACAAAGAATCTGACAACTCCACACTTAAAAAATAAACTGTCAGCTTCTATTAGTGACCTAAGCAGTTGCAAGAATCCTAATTTGTGTCTGAACTTTTGCTGAAAATAACCAACTTTATGAAGATTTACGTCTAGAAACCAACAGCGTTACATCTGGTTTTATGCGATCTTTAATTCCGCTCAGTCTTCCTTGTGTTTTGATAATCTCTGAATAAATTTTGTCTGCATGTTTACAAGATCTCATTGCTGATCCTTCCCTCTGCCTCTTAAAACCAGATTATGGGAGAAATGTAGTACGTGGTAGATTAGAACGTAAGTGTGGTGATGTTGGCTCTTTCCAGGATAAAGATCTGGCTCTTAGCAATTTTAATACTTTAGTGTATGTGTGTGTGATGGCTGCTACTGATCCAGAATAAAGTATTGTATTACAAATGTACAAAGATAACAACTGGAAATGCATGACCAGTGGCCAAATAAAGATATCACTTGAAATTTTGCTCTTGAGGCTGAACAGTTCTTCATTTACACAAGTTGAGCATGGTTTTTGTTGTTTTAAAGGAGTAGTCAAGTTTCAGTATGACATTCTAATCCCTTTTAGGGGAAACTAATGTAATGAAAAAGTTCATTTATCTCTTCCTGTACCACAACAGGCGAGTCCTGAAGAAAGCAATAGAAGTTGCTGAGTGTCTAGAAAGACAGCATACAAACGTTCTCCTTATAGGTAAGAATTTAATGATATTATCCTATATATTTTTAAAAATTTCTTTTTAATTTCTTTAGATGTAGCTTAAGCTGGAAGTTTATAATTATGGTAGAGGCTGGTAAAATTCGTAGAGTACTCAAAGTAGAGTACAGACACCTAAATCTTTCATGCTTCTGGAAAAGCTTCCTGTAGTTAAAAAAACATGGTAAGCATAGTTCCAGGCCAAGAGAAATATGTTGTGAATGAGAAAGCTGCTGATAAATTGGCAGGAGAGTTATGCTACCTCTTGTTTATGCATTCCTGTTTCCTAAGTTATTTTATTAAAGGTCTCCTAGACCTTATGCTGTACTTCTAAGGGGGTGGGAGGGACACACCTACACACAAAAACCATGCAGCATGAAAACTTTCTAAAAGGACGTTTTTGTTCTAGATACACACTGAATACTATGTAGCCTCTTTGTTAAAAATACATGAAAGAATACACTTATTGTACACATCTTAAGCTATTTGTTTTCCTAGATTAAGTAAAGTAATCACATGGGAAAACCAAAGTCAATGTTAAACCATTAAGCTATTTTTGGATTAGTAACTTCGTTGAGTTTTTTCCCACACACTGCCATTTGAGAAACCTAGTATGGGGAGGAGATGTTTCTAGAAGGCACCTGGAGGGTAAAGAATGCATGTTGCATGAGGAGGCAATTTCACACCTTGTGAAAAGATGCATGCAGAATAGAAAGGGTAGGGGCAGATAGCTGGCCTGGTAGCATAGGGCAGGATGGGCAGTATGTGTATTGTGGGACACTGAAGGTGTAGCCATCAAAGATATAGTAGTAAAAGCTTGGGGTTTGCAAGTTTTATTGTCAAGGTATTATCCTATTATAAGTGTACAAGAAACCTTATTTTTTACAAAGGGAAGTACTGGAAACATGGATTAACTTCTCTCTGATGCTATAACACTTGCAAGAAATTGTGTGGTTCTCTGATCTTGGAATACAATTTTGTTTATGTGAAGCTAGCAATACTTTGCTTTCTTACCCAAAGTTTTAGGAATGGCTTAGTAGACAATGTGGTTTCTGTTCTCTGCTGTAGAAGAGAGTGCTACTGATCTGTGCTGTGTAATCTCTAGTCTGGTTCAAGTGATGATGGATTCATACAGCAGAACAAAGTCAGGGTTTCAGAGCCTTATCCAGAAGGAGTGGGTAATTGGAGGACATGGCTTTTTGGATCGTTGTAACCACTTACATAAAAGTGACAAAGAAGAGGTATGATTTTTTTATTACTTTCCTTACTTACTATTTAAAAGTTTACTCGGCATAAGGAGGGATTGAGATGTCAGTCCAGAAGTTCCAATTACTCTGAGGATCTTTAATTTCATGTTTTGTTTTATGGGTTGATGTTTTATACAGTGTCACTATTTTTGCTGTTTAGAGTTCAGTAATGTCTTTATAACTAAAGAGAACAAATGTAAAATTTCCCTTTCCAATCATGGAGTCTTTTGAAAGACATGCATCTCATGTCCTTTTAAACTGTGTTAAATGGTAGTAGTGTCCATAGAAATAGCTCAAGTGAATTGCCTATTCTTGTCACATCTAGAGTTTAACTTTATACTGATTGCTAAATGTTGCAGTCTCACCTCTCCATTTTTGTTTATATTTTGGGAATAGATCAGGTTGCTGTACAGAATGGAAATCATAAGTGTAAAACGACTAGTTCTCATCAAGAATTGCTATAAACTAGTTTTGCTTTGCCAACTTTAAAAGGCTGCATAGCAGCAACTTTCATAGCAAGTGAATGTGTGCAAATGCAGGTTAGAAAGTATTCATCTCTTCTGGTGACAATTGGCCAAGGGTAGCTCAGATGATACTTCTTCAGAGTTCAGCCAAAGTTATACGCAGCAGTTCTGTAGTTAATTGCTTTCCTTAAGATTTGTATTTGGAGACACTAAATACTATAAAATAAATAGTCTGCATGGTGGAACATATTTTTTTCTATGAAACTGATGCAATATTTTCTTTATTTAGGCTCCTGTTTTTCTGCTCCTGCTAAATTGTGTTTGGCAGTTGGTACAACAGTATCCTCCAGCATTTGAGTTCACAGAAACTTACTTAACTGTCTTGTCAGACAGCCTCTACGTGCCTATTTTTAGCACTTTCTTCTTCAACTCGCAACATCAAAAAGACACTAATATGGTAAGGGTTTGTTATTTTGTGGATGCAAGGTGTTGGAGAACAGGTTTGACCAACAAGCAAGGAACACTCAGAAAAAATAATACCCTAGCAGCATGTTTTTCCATACTTATTTGAAGGGTAGTGCCTTGAAGGGTGAATGAGTGCAACTTTGGGTGTAAGGAGTCAAGTTCAGGACTTAGGATTTTATGATGACAAAAGGAAAATAACTCAGGAATGTATTACTTCTAATGTGTGGCTATAGGTTCATGCTTATTGCTCTTCAATGAAAGTAGAGCTCCTTAACCTAAGAGAAATATCCTGCTGTCCTGCAAAATTATCTACAGTTATCTACAAAATTCTTGTATAGTATATACTGTTGTATTCCAAAAGCAACATTTCCTGAACGTTGATTTACATCTGGTTCATGCTTTTCTCTAGCCTAGGAAGCTAGAAGCAATGGGAGTATCCTCTGCAAGGCTGCACAGAGACTAAAAAAAAAGTAAAGATCACCATCTTGCATATAAATAAAGCATTGATCATAAAATTTAAACTGGTAGCACTGCATAACTGCAGTTAACTTTTGAAGTTTGGAGGGCTTTATTCCACAATCCTAATATGCCCCCTGTGTTTGAAGAGTTCAAGTATCTATCTCCTGCCCAATTTTCAAAACTTTATTTTTTTCCTTAGATTATTTGATCGTACTTGCAACTGTGAGAGGCATTCTTGATGCTGTCTAATAGCACTGTTGAAATGATACACTGTCCAAAGTTACAGAGAATAATATATAGATAACCTTTGTGTCTGTTACTTACTTGCATCTAATAATGTTGTTGAGCTGTTGAATACATAGAAATCATGAGTGTTGCAACTCTGTGGCCTCTTCTGTGAAAAGCCAGTTTCTTAATTTCACCTTGACTTGGCCGGAATTCCTTTCTAGCAGTATTAATTGTGACCTGTTTTTTTTGGCAGAGTGGTGAAAGCCTCAAGACACAAAGTGGTCCTTTCAGATTTCTTACTGTGTGGGACTGGTCTGTGCAGTTTGACCCCAAGGCCCAGGCTTTCCTGAACAACCCTCTTTATGCAGAGAAGCCAAAACCAGATAAAAGTCAACGGAAAACTGCACGATTCAAAGTAAGATATGTGCTGCTTAACTATTTTTTAAAAATTATAAAAATATTTTGCACAACTTGTACTTCAAACATACTCACAATGGAAGTATTGGTGCAAAGTTTTTTAATTGACAAAATACATGTACACCTCAGACTCACCTGGATCTTAAGAATACAATTTGCACCCACCTCAGTTATAAATCACTGTTTTACAGTTACTCTGCATAGCTGTGAACTTAGTTTTTTTTTCTTCATACTTTTGTGCAAGTGTAGTGATAACTCATGGGACTTAACATCCAGGCGAGTTACACTAATGTGTTTGAAGTGTGTTTATTTTGTTGTTCCACAGAGTACCTAACTGAAATACGTAGCAGGTTTATAACTGCTTCCCTAATTTTGTCTGAGTGCAATTGGAGTGTGTGTGTGTGCACTTGGAAGGGGAGGGGGACCAACAACAACAAAAACTGTCGAGGGTATGAAGGATTATGGGTGGACCGCCTCATTACTGGAAAGTAGCACAAATTCAGTACGAAAAGTTTGTTTGGAGTAGCCTCTTCGATTGTAATATCCCTGTTGGTTAAATTCTGTTCTGTACAAAGCATTCTTGAGTGAGACACTGTCAGTATGATCTACAGCATTAATCAGGGAACTCTTACACAGTGGGATGCAATGAGGAACCACTGGATAAAAACTTCTAAATCAAGTGCTCTTTGATTTGTGTGGCTAGCTTAAACTAAACATGGAAGTCTGTAATACTTCAATATATGCAAAGAATTCTCCTTTTTTAAAGAAAAATGCTTTATTCAGTGTTACTTCATTGCTATAGTTACAGTGTATTTGAGTACCAAGTATGCTGTGTGAAGTATTTGGTGTACTAGCCATTGAAGAGTAATAATTTTAGACTACATAGCAAAGCAGTGACTGTGTTTAAGTTATTTTGTTGCTTGTAAGTATTTTCTGAATACAAGTTATGTTTTTCTTCCTCTTGAGATGTTTTCTGAAGTCCCATCAATATTTATCTCAGTATATTTTTCTTTTCTTTCCTCTTAAAGCATCAACGGCAACTTTCTTTGCCATTGACGCAAACAAAATCTTCCACGAAGAGAGGATTTTTCAGGGAGGAAACAGATCATTTAATTAAAAACATTCTGGGCAAAAGAATTGGCAAGTTCATAAATTCTTCAGATGAGCTTCCTAATAGCTTCAGGGAATTTTATGATAGCTGGCATAGTAAACCTGTTGACTATCACGGTCTTCTGTTACCTCGCATCGATGGCCCTGAAATCAAAGTCTGGGCACAACGGTATTTACGATGGATTCCTGAAGCCCAGCTTCATGGTGGTGGTACAATAGCCACAGCTGCCAAGATTTTGGACTTGATGGAGGAAGTGCAAAGCTTGCAGGTGAAAATGGATGAAGAACATAGTCAAGCTATTTCTGGAGATGTACATTCTGTTCCAGTGCTGAGAAATTCTGCCCGTTTGTCATCCTTGTTTCCATTTGCTTTACTTCAGAGACAGTCTGTCAAACCAGCTTTACCCACTAGCACCTGGAAAGACTTGGAAGATGAAGATGACTTGGTCAAGAGGGATGATGAATTTGTTGATCTAAGTGGTGATATGTCATAAAATGTATATAAAGTAAAGTATGAATTGTGTGTCGCTAAGCTCTGAGTTTTCAATGTTGTGCTCATAGAAGGAACTCACTCAAGCATCTGCAGCCTGTTTAATGGGTTTGTGGGGTTAAAAAAAGCCTTGGTTGGAAAGAACTAGTTGTGATGATTCATTGAGCATATTTTGAACTTCCATTTCACTCTAACTGTATTTATTGCAGAAACACATTTTTAGCATAGGTGTAATAAAAACAGAAGTCTAGGCTGGAGTAGCCATATGGCCACTTTGTTTAAAAAAGAAAAAGAAACAACGAAAAAACATTATTTTCTGATGTAAAGGTGGAATACTAAATACATACAGCAACAATCACTATCTTAACATAAAATCTCTTCCTCTTATGCTAATAGTACTAGGATTGGAAGTACTGTGACTAGGAACTTAATACATCTGCTTTCCCCCCATATAAAATAAACAGGGAAAGGTGCAACTACATGTGCATTCACAAATAAGCTTTTTACAGCTGAGGAATAAACTTGTGGTCACCAGAGGTTTTCTGTCTACTGTGGCATCAACTGATGTCATATGCTTGTCACCCTCATGTTTTCTGACAGTGTTCGTGTTTGGCTTGCAGCACTTCACCTTGCGTGGTATTTTAGTAGCAGCTTGGCTGCTCTAAGCCTGTGCATGCACTTAGTTTAAGGATCAGATGCAAGAGTTTAACTACACATTTCAAATCTTATTGTGTGGCTGCTGTGCTATACGCCCTTGCTGCCTTGGAATATTAAGTCCCAACTGTTTGCTGTTAATTGTAAGAAGTGGCCTGATTGTGAGATTCTAATTTGCCATGAGTATTTTTTCTCCTTTTAATAGAGTGAGACTTTCATTTTGACTTTCCCCAGTTGCCTTTGAGGCTTTCTGTAGCTTGCACTGAGACCTTCCACGTGGAAGGGGAGACTCTTTTTCTGTAATCCTGCAGTGAAGCTGGATTTGCAGTCTGTTGCCACTTGTCATGAGTCAGTGGTACAGCTTATGAATGTGGCGTTCATACCATATGAACACTCTCATCCTGTTGCTGGATGTTATAACAGTACCTCAGTGAAAAAAGCCATAAAGAAATGCCTGTTGACTTTGATCTACTGTGTGTATGTTTATATATAAAGTATTTTTACTGCAAATAATCTTCCTTTGTGAAGCTGAATATTATTTGACTGTCAAATCTATTTTGAACCCTTCAATTCTAGAATACCCCAAGAATGGATGCAAGTCATAAAATCAGTTACACTGAGAGGGTAGACATTGAATATTTTCTCTATTCTTATGCCAATTTAGAAATCCATGCTGGAAAACTTAGGTGGTAGATGAACTGTTGCTTAAGTTGGATCAGCTCAGTGTAATCGGGGATATTAAACTGACTGACTGATCAATCACTTTACACTGAGTTGTATTAGTATGTATAGCAAAAATTTATCAGCAGTCCTCTAAAAATACATTTATTTTAACATATTAAAATTTATTAATGGGGAAAGGGGGAGAGCTTAATGCAACTATGCCAAATTGAAGCTTCCCAGCTCGATTGCCTTAAGTCTTAGTAGTACGAGGACAATACTTGAGTTTGTAGCATTTTATTTAAAAATACACTAGTACTTACGCTTTCTTCTGTGATACATATGATCTTACAACTAGCACTTGCTAGAATGGGCTGTCCAGCACATGTCCTTCAGACATTATTATTGTAGTTCAAGTGACCTGTGTATGCAATAATACTTTGCATGTTGAATGAGCAATGCATTTTTATGGTAAAGAAATACCTATCATTGTAAGGTCATTTGGGTTCAAGGGGTTTTCTTTAAACACTGCCATTAGAAAAAATATTAAATGGATTTTTCTATACTTTTCATCAAACTGTTGTAATGTTTCAGTCATGAAGATTACATATTTATATTAAAGAATGGATGTTGGACATCTTATTTGTACATAAGTTATCAGAAGTTTATATAGAAGAGAAACATATATGTGGAATTGAACATGAGAAGACTTCTAATGTAGAGTAAATACCATTGTTGTTGGTTTTCTGCACTGTGGGATTGGAAATGTACTTAGTATTTTTACTCCAGGCTTCTGTTTATACCTCCAAGTTTTTACACTGAATGCAAGCTAGAAGCTTTACGGTTTTGGGATTTTTTTAATACTGTCATTTCTCTCTAGTGGGCTGTTTGGAGAGTGTCAATAAAATATACTTTGAATTTGCCCTGAAATGAGAATGTATGTTTAAGGTCATATTTTGCAAATGATGCTTTAAATCATAGCAAACCTGACAATCTGCAGTGACAAGGCTTTTCTACTTATGTGCTGGTTTTTAGAGACTGTTACGGGGAGGAAGCTATGCAGTTTTGATGTGGTTACACTTAATGGAGAGGTGCTGTCAGCTCAGGAAGGGGAAAGTTCAGTGCAGTGTAGTAGGATGACTATGTGAAGTTACTAAGGTGGTCTGCTGAATGTCAGTATTTGGAGGTTTATTAAACACTTTATTTCAGTCTTACCAATGTATGTATCTTCCCCCATTCCAAGGGGGAATGTCGTTCTTACAGTGTTAAACTAAGCAATTTTTGAAATCGCTGCAGCAGGGTATTCCTCAAACCGAATGTGTATTGAGCATGGTTTGGGAGATGGTCACAGTGAGCTATAGAGTACAAATTTAAAACTTCTGGTTTTTTCCAGAGATTACAAATTACTAGCTTCTGTACAAAAGCAGCACTAGTGCAAATCCCATATACAAAAATCATGACACTTTGGGTATTTCCTAAACAGAATGTTGCAAGACTGTGACAGACTTGTTCTTGAAGTCTCATACAGTAATAGCTTGTGCAGCAGCTGTGAAGTGCCGGGTCACGTTTTAACACAAGGCGTGCCTCTGCCTCACCCACATCTTCTAAAGATCAGCATGTGTACTTTGACTGCTTGGCTTTGATTTAAGACTGCGTTCACTAGTTATTGATGTAGACCATATTGGAATGCTCCAGTTAAAGCTTTTTCCATTCATGCTCAAATCATGGAAGCGTAACTTCTTCAGGAGGCAGTAGAATACTTCCTGCTGTAGATGTCTTATGATGGATTAGTTTTGTCACACCAAAGATTACCTTAATTCTAATATTTAGCTGGAAACTTCATATCCAGTATTTATTGCCTGGTATTCTCTTGAAAAGAGCTAGGTTTTGCATAAAACTTTATTTATAAATCATGTGGGATGGACTTCATTTTCTGGGATGGGGGGGATGGGTTACTGAACTCTTTTGAGTCTAAAAAAGAGCATGCTATGTACAGAACTATATGTGCTTTTCCAGGATGAATTTAGTGGTTGGGGGGTGGGAGGGGCAAAACCCTTCTTATCATGGTCTCAGGTCCTTTTTCTTGGTATATGGTAAAGATAGCTTACGACAAATGCTTTTTGTCAGCATTTGCAGGATGGCAGAACTCTTACCTGGTGGGATAGAGTTATCTTGGAAAGGAGTGGACACAGAAGGTGAGGATAGCTGAAGTTTGAGCTGGAGAAACAATTTTGTGGGGAGGGCACCTCCGTGTTGAATACAAAGGGAGTAGAAATGGAGTTATTTGGGCTGTGTTAGAAGAATGTGGTAGAGAATGCCAATAGTTCCGGCTCCCAAAGAGGCTTGCTTGGGAGGTAAGTTTGACTTAAAGAGTACCAGCTTTAAACTTGTTACGGAGGCTGAGAAGATGTTAATAGAGGACTGCTAACATCTTGGCAAGTGTTTGTATGGGGGAGGGATGCTTGATGCTGCCACATTTTGGACTACTGTGAAACCTTGTCCTCATGTGGAAACCCTATGGAACAGTAAACACTGTTGCTCGATTGCAGCATGTTACTCCACTTCCAGTGAGCATTTGGTTTCTCCATTTTTTATTTCAGCAATCCAGTAAAATGACGTAGGTACTTCCCTTAATGTTATGCCTGCATGCTTAAAGCAGGCAGATAACATACACCAAGGAAGTGCATTTGTTAATTTATTTTGTGAACAACAGAACTCTGAAGACTGATTTCCCATGGTGTTTTCTTGTCTGCCCATACCACAGTTCCCTCAGCTTCGTCCTTTCTTCTGGCATTTCCTATCCTTGCTCATACCATCGTGCCTTCAGTCTTCCCTCCATCTCCTCTCTATTCTTAAGTCAGGTGCTGTATCAGCAGTTAATAGGTTTGTCATTGCTACAAACTTGCCGGGCAAGCCAGATTCAGTATCTCGGTTCCTGGGGGACCAAGTAAATGGACATGACTTGGCGTGGCCAGGCCATATAGTCTCCAGACTGCCTGCTGAAATCTAGTAACTTCTGAAATCTATTTCTGTCAAATACGATCAAAATTGGCTTTCCAAAGCTTTGATGCAGCTGGGTCAAGAGGAGACCGATGAGCTGCCCTGTGTGGTTACTAAAGAAATCAGGGTGAATGCAACTAAAACCCCTGTTCCTGCAGCTCAGGCATGATTCAAATCTGCAGTTTACAGGCTAAAAGGAAGGCATCTCCCAGATAGGAAAACCTGCTTATTTACAGTCAGATCAGGTATCCCAGTTTTCTCTTAATGCAACATTTTTTTCCTTTATTTTGGGTAGTATCTGATTTTGTGTTCTGGAATAAACTTTTCATCATACTGTAGGAGCCAAAATTCAGGCTAGGGAACAGTTGCGTTTCCTGGAAATCAGCTGACATTTGTATGACTTCTGAAAGGTCACTTAGAATCCTTATTCTTTTTATTCCAATCTGAAGAAAATTTCCAATTAAGAACAGCTAACTCAGCTAGAATTAATGTGCAGTTTCACTAACTAAAAGTGTAAATCTTCAAGTATTTTATAAATACTAGTAAGCTTTTAAACATTAGGGAACTTTGTGGACTCACTAGCTAGCTCACTTTGGAGTGAGTGGGATTCACTTCTTTTTGTGTTTCTACAGGCATTGATTTAAAGTATGTTTATGTATGAATGTGGTGACAAGCAAATCTTATGCAGAGGGCATAAGTGCACATCGCTTCATGTCTTGGTGATGATGCAAGAAGATACTTCAACTTTCACTATTACCCCAATTCACAAATCAGAACAGGATGCTCCTTACCAAGCTCCTTATTTCCC